AGAAAGGCCCAGGTTGGTGTTTTTTAAGGAATTTAGAGAGAGAGAGGAAGGTAGAGGGATAGAGAGATAGTGACATGGATGAGAGAGAGACATCCATGGGCTGCCTCCTGCATGTCCCTTACTAGTGATTGAGCCTACAACCTGGGCATGTGCCCTGACCAGGAATTGAACTGGTGACCTCCTGGTTCATGGGTCAATGCTCAACCACTGAGCAACACTGGCTGGGCTGTTAAATATTTTGAATAAATAACATAGATCTAAAGATAGGGCTTAGTAAGGAGACCAGAGGAGGACACGGCCAGGCCTAGAGATCTGAACCACGGTGCCTCATCCCAAGGTGCCCACTGCCTCGGTTTCCTTCACCAATGACTATTGAGACTAGTCTTAGTCAAAACTGTCACCACCTGGAGACACAGAGTATAAGGAACCTGGTTGGGCCTCCTTCCTCCCCCGAGGCTTTCCTTGTCATTCTCTTTCCCGCTCTCTGGAAAGCAGAACTACCGGCAGTCCCCCCAGCCCCGATTTCCTCATGTTCAGGAAATCAGAGGGCTGGGCCAGTGTCTTGGGATCATGATGACTACGTGGAGAACAGCAACTTTAAAAATCAGCGTCAGGACAGCAGTACATCGTGACCTGTTGTAGGTGTCTGTCATTGATAGACATTTACACAGATAAGGGCGTTTCCTTGTTTTCCAGCTCACAATGTCTTCATTGTAGCATTTACGGATTCTAACCAGAGCAACTGGCTGGAGAGCACAGGAGGGCATGTTGGTGACTCTTCCTAGGACCGAGGCTTTGCCCCTCACACCCACAGTTCCCAGCAGAGGTACAATGTGCTCAGTGACTGTTTTGAATTCTAGAGGTTGAATTAGGTGTTCTTTGAATCAATAGGTGATAACAGAATACTAGCACTAATCATGGCTGATATTTCTTGAGTGCTTTCTACATGTTTACATATATTATCTCACTTAAACCTCACAATTACTAGTATGTTCTAGATAGATACTATCATTATCTCCATTTTGTAACTAAGACAACTTAGGAAGAAGAATTGAAATACTTTGCTCAAAGTCAGAGTTTGAAATGGTGATGCTTGAGCTTAAACCTAGAGTTCTGTAAGGAAATTAGTTTAATATTCTGCAATTAAGACTAAAGCCGAAAGAGGGGAGAAAATGAAATGTTATTACCTCAAGAAATGCCTATGACATTATTTGCACTGAACAGGCCTCAAAAAATAAATAGAATATTAAATAATAAGTGCATTTATCATTAAGTTAAAATAATCTCATGATTCTTAAACTCACAAAGTTACATTTCATCCCTTTTTTAAAAAAATTTATCTGCCACTCTTGAGTAAATCTTCATTGTAATGTGTCATGTTAAGATACTCATTAGATTTCAGACCTTGGTGATTCTAAGGGTTTGAGAAGAATCTACATAGGAGTTTATTAGCCTGCTCTCCAGGATGTGTGTTTGATCGCTCCTCTGACTTAAAAAAGAAAAAAAAAGAAAAAGGAAAATGCATGAAATAGAGTTCTTTGAATGCCAATGGGTACATGAGTTTTGAGCTTGCCAACTGTTAATTGGTCTCTTCCCCAGTGGTGACACAAATAAAATTTATAGCCATTTCTTTGCAGTCATGAATCTTTTACTCCTTGACAAAGTGAAAAAAAATTTATCTGCCACTCTTGAGTAAATCTTCATTGTAATGTGTCACGTTAAGATACTCATTAGATTTCAGATCTTGGTGATTCTAAGGGTTTGAGAAGAATTTACATAGGAGTTTATTAGCCTGCTCTCCAGATGTGTGTTTGATCGCTCCTCTGACTTAAAAAAAAAAAAAAAAGAAAAGAAAAAGGAAAATGCATGAAATAGAGTTCTTTGAATGCCAATGGGTACATGAGTTTTGAGCTTGCCAACTGTTAATTGGTCTCTTCCCCAGTGGTGACACAAATAAAATTTATAGCCATTTCTTTGCAGTCATGAATCTTTTACTCCTTGACAAAGTGAACCACTAAAAAGTGAAGTTACTAGTCTCTTTCACCGAAAGCCTTTGCAGTGATCAGCTTTCTTTAAGAAATATCAAGTCAAAATGAGGCTGTGGATACCCATGGTCCCCAGGATGTGTTTTGGTCTTTAAGGTAGGTTAGCAGTGGTTCTCAACCTTCTGGCCCTTTAAATACAGTTCCTCATGTTGTGACCCAACCATAAAATTATTTTCATTGCTACTTCATAACTGTAATGTTGTTCCTGGTATGAATCGTCATGTAAATATCTGATATGCAGGATGGTCTTAGGCGACCCCTGTGAAAGGGTCGTTCGACTGCCAAAGGGGTCGCGACCCACAGGTTGAGAAGCGCTGGGTTAGTGGATGAGTTTGCATCAGAATTTTAGAAATGCAATTAGGAGACAGATGCACTATTGCAATATGTGAAATGACATAGTGAATAGAGTTGCCTCCTTTCTAATCACAGCAAGTCATTCTGCATGTCAGTGTTGGAAGATCATTTGGTATGGTTGGGAAAAGCAGCTATAACTATGCCACAATCTCTGATAAGATGCTAGAAAATGCCATGGAATGCCAGTTACAAGGCAAAAATAGCTCTCTTATTTCAAAGTAAAAAAAGAAACTTTATTAAGAGTGTCACTTTGTGTCTTTTCACTGACACATGAAGATAAGAATGGCCGTGACAGAAAAATGGAGTCATTTTGTAAAGGCACTGCCTAAATGTCTAACTAATTCATTATTATTAAATAGTGAAGAGCAATCCGATGTTTAATTTTGTTGCCCATGGGACCAGTTAACTGAGCTGACTCCCACCTTTGCTTGAACCTTCAAAAATTAAAAAACAGAAACCCCGTTAGCTATTAAGCAGTTTTTTGGACAAGTTGTAAGTCAAAGTAGTAGTATTTTGCAATTTCTTAGATAGGGGTAATTCAGGGCTTATTTTTACAAAATATCAGCTGACCCATATTTAGGCCCAAATTGCAACAATTTCAAAAATACCTCTTTCCATATATTTGATAACGAGTACAAATTCCAAAGGACTCAATGTAGTTTGGAGGTTAACAAGATCCACCAGCCAATTGACAACTATGTCATTTGTCAAATCAAAGTTTTTCTGGGCTCCTAGGATACTGGATCAGCTAGGGTAACAGTGTCTTCATGCATCATAGGATGTTTCCCCCTTGTCATAAAAGGGTGATATTGTTCAGAGTCTGAAATTATTTTTTAACAAACAAAGGACACAGTGTTAGGTGATTTTCCTCAGTAGTGTGCTCGAGGATGATGGGAGTATCTCAAGAGCATGGTACCCTCCGGCAGGCCTGTCCCCCACAGACAGGCATTTGAAAGAACACTGCATTGTATGGTGCTAATGAAAAGGCAGGATATGAGTCTGATTCCTAAAACTCATCAGCAATTCATAGGCTTTGTTTTAGCAAAAACAGAAAATGAAAATGAAGAGTTTGATGGAAAGCTTATAGGTTGAAATTAATTGACACTTGTCATTCTTCAAGCAAGTTTTTATTCCTGGTGTATGAATATGGCTCTTAGGTATATGTCCATGATTAGATCATGGAATAGGAAATACATACATGGAGTGCACAGGTCCACTGACACACACACACACACACACACACACACACACGCATGCATACACACATACTTTTTGCATACTTATCAAGAATAGTAATACAATTGATGGTACATTCTTAAGACATACCATTTCTCTCTATGATAAGCTCCCAATAAAAGAAAGCAGGATTTCCGAGTTCTTGAAAGAGAATGACAAAAATCAAACCACGCTGACTGGCTTTGTCCAGTGGGGCATTCTAATTGACTCCCAAGTCATTAATCAGTTCCCAATCAATCTATTTTGCCAGCAGCAGGCAGTTAGGACTCCATTACCAGCCATTCATCATTCCATACCCTAATTCACTGCGCCATTAGCCACGGATTAGGCCTCTGTTAGAATAACTAAGTGCCAGTTGCTAAATGCAAAGAATTTTTGTTACTCACCTCTGCCACTGGGATCCCTTCAGGCGGTCTACACTGGAGCAAAACTTCCTGTTCCAAGGATACTTCCTTCCCCAGGGGTTCCTGCTCAAATGTCTTGCGTAGATCTGGAAAGCGGAGGTAATAAAATACATGACAAAACTCATCTACAATTATTCACCTATAGAAAGTACAATAAACTTCTTCCAGTTTTTTATTTCATGTGTCTTTTTTAAACCACATGTTGTTAATACTGTACTGCCACCTGGGTGATTATATTCTGTGTGGTGGAAATTATGAAATTCAAAGGTTATTCACTGTTCCAACTTTAATCTTCACTGGAATGCTTTGAAGGTCACATTAGCAATTAGTGAAATTCTTTCCTTGCATTTCCTTATGATGATGATGTTCACATTTTTAATCAAAAGAACCCCATTGTCATGATTTTTATACATACAGAGTCCTTATGTACATAAATATTTTCCTCTCTCTTCACAATGAATTATATCAGAGTTGTAATAACTTTGAGAGCTTTTGATCAATAGCTCAAAAGCAAGTTTAAAATCAGAATGCTGGAGCCTTAAAATAATAAATATAACCTCTCGAGGCATCTTAAACATAAGGCAGAGTAAAAAGGAACTGTTCAAATGAGTCTAGACATCTCTCACTATATAATAATGTGGCCATTTCTTCAATAAGAAAATTAGTCATTTCTGCCCAAATATACCAAGTACCTAGTTATGTATTTATATAGTTGTAGTTGCCATAGCAATATGAAGGCTTTTAAAAATTATTATAGATGGTCACAAAAATGTTAGAAACTAGCTTGTCATTTTAAATACCAACGTTAAAAAAATAAACGATTCAGCCATAGAGCTTTGAAGCAGCACACCAAAATTTTTATTTCATACTTGTATAATTCAGCTCCTTTCAATAAAAAGTTATTAGAATTTTATCCACTTCATTTTAATAAAAATTTAATGTCTCTGTCCTTTTAACTCATATCCCTGATAAAAACTTAAGAACCTAAAAGCACCATTTTAGCCTGATGAACTACTAAGTAAAAACACCAAAGCTCTAGAGTATATACCTCTGTCTTTCATGGAGCTATCAGAAAGCACCACCTGGAAAATGCACTAAGAAAAAAATCTATTGTTATATACTTGTCATTTTGTTGAGTTTCTTGGCAAAAGAAAACCTTCAAGAGCTTAGGGATTGTGAGGAAATTAGAATGTGTGTGGGTCTGAGGTAAGACAAGAGACTGTCCAAATAGTGACAGAATTTCTGTCAGAAGGACTCTACTCATTGAATTGTCAAAAAATTGAGTATATTGTAGAAGTGAGCATTGAAAATCCACAGTTGTTAAAATGGTAAGTTATCTAAATCATGTCCTTAATTTACATATACGGAACATGCTTATCAAATTACTCAAAGCCTCACAGCAAAAATAATGGGTGCAGCATTAGAACCTGGTGGCCCCTGATTTGATACTTATTTTGCCATCCCACACATCCTTTTAACATCTCTTTTGGTTAAGCCGTGTCCTTCCGACAGAATCATTAAAAATACTCCCGTTCTTTCTCTTCTGATAGTGTAGCTTCTCTCTTTTCAATCTGCATTAAGATAAAAATTTTGGTAAAATACTAACTACTAATAAAAGTAAGAGCAGAAACGAATACATCTTTTGGGATAAAAGGTTCCCGACAGAGTATATCTACTTTTTGAAATATAATTCTGAAAACATCCATTTACTGTGGGGTAGCGTGAAGACATCATGACTGGAGTTAGTTCTCAAATAATATTTTGCCTCCCTTCTGGTAAAATTTATTAGCATATCACAAAATGAAGGCTGAGAATGAGAAAAAATGAGGCACATATGTATCTAAATAGTCAAAACAAATTCCTTTAATGTTTATTAATTATCTACTTAAGGTAAACACTCTACTAGGTGCTTAGGATGAAGATGTGAAAGATACAGAATCAAGACAAGAAAGGTAAGTTGAGATCTACTTATGAAAAGCTTTTCTGCCATGTGAAGGAATGGCAAACCCTAAAAGTTTTCTAAGCAAAGGAAGGAGGCCAGATGTCATATTGCCCTCAGTGTGACAGATGGATTGAGACAGAAAGGAGTTTGGGGACCATCTGAGTAGACCACGCGATGATCGGATCCTCTCATAGTGGACAGAAAGAGGAGAAAGCAAATTCTAGAAATAAAGAGATCTCACATTCGAAAGAAGATCTAGGTGTTGGAAAAGTGCCATGAGGCAAAGATAATACTATATTTTTAGCTATTGCAATTGTTAAGTTGGTACCATTATTAGGTACTAGTCATGAATTGAGCAGAAAAGCGAGGAAAAAAAGCAAATTAATTTTGTTCCATATTCAGTTTGGTGTGTCTGTGGGATATGCAATTGGAAAAGTCCAGTACATCCGGGTCATGATTTCTCAACCTCAGCCCTGTTGGTGTTTGGCACTGGGTGATTCTCTGTGCATAGTGCTTAGCAGCATCCCTGGAATCCACCCAGGAGAAGCCAGTAACACCTCTCCCAGCCATGACAAAATAAATTGCTCCAGACAATACCATGTCTTCCGAGAGGCAAAAAAAACCAACAACACACCCAACGTGAGAATCACTGGATGTAGAGCCTGGAAAAGAAGTCGGGGTAGAAGATTTGTGCTTCGTTGTCTAGGAGATAGCTGAAGTACTGGAAACAGATGACATCACAGGGAAAAAGACTGAAGCATTAAAAAACACACACACACACACACACACACACACACACACACACAAAACCCAAAACAACAGGACCCCAA